CTATTGTTATTGGGTGTTTTAAATAGCTTAATGAATGCTTCTGTCAGAATCGCCCTCACTTTATATGAGAAAGTTTTACCGCCGCTTGCACTTTTTCACTAGTTAGTTTGCGGAAGTGATGCTGAAAGTAGATTAACAACATAGGCAGTCTCATTCACTTATATTACAGTTTATTAATGATACATCTAAAGTAACTTTCTCCTTCACACTCGTACTTGATCTAAATATGCTGTAATTTCGACTATTGACGGATATGCTCGTTCCACTCTACTGTCTCTGCTATCTGATCAGGCGAGAATAAAGTGTAAAACTAAAACTCCCTTCGAACTAGAGAATCCCTAACTGGCAAGATAGTGACACTCGCGATTCTCATACCAATAATCATGGAAAAGTTCAAAATTATGCAATAAACGGCATAAACAATCATCAAATTCGAAAAAACTGCTTTGGGCAGTTTCATTAAGTCTTTTCTTTCTATAAGTCATACCTTTTTTTTCATGTTTGTATTCAAAGTTTTTTTTTCTGATAAAAAAGGTGTAAAAAAGTTACAGTAACTATGAACCCATATATTGTAGATTTCTATGACTTGCTCAATTAATAATTTTAAATTAGAATTATTCATACTGATTTCGATAGATCTCCAATTATAAACCAGATCAGCAATATTATATGCTGCAGAATATTTATTTTCCCTAATTTCTTCAGATGGTTTATTAAATTAACTAATTCTTTCAACGCTATCTGAATTTTTTTATCTCTTGTGATTCCTATTTTATACGATTACATAAAATATTGAAAGTATCCTCGATATTTTATTTGAATTCCCTACACTGAGAAAAAAATGTTGTAGAATTACTGAAATTTCAATTGATTTAACAAAATTATTTTATCAAATAGTATCTATTAAATAATTTAATTAAATTAATTTGTATATTAAATTGGTACAATGTATAATCACAATTGATAAAGTTGAATATTATGTAATTATGAAGACAAATTACATTCATTCAATAAAATATTTCATAAAATTAATTTTGTAGATTATTATTACAAATATTTAAGGATAAAAATTTTTCAATTAACATAATAATTTATTGCTGAAATAAGAAAAAGAGTTATTATGTAGTGAAAGCAATGAAATATTTAATTGATTATACTGATTATTCAAAAGATGTAGATAGCCGTATCATTAAAATACCAACATATTTAATTATATTAATCTTTCATTCTTAACAGAATCCTTCGTTGAAAATACAAAACCGCTTGCATAGAATAGTTGTTATAATTACGAAGCAATTAAATATGTCATTATCTGCACAAATTATTAAATTGAATTAGGTTGCTATTTTATAAAAATCGTCCCAATGGAAGACCCCAGAAGAGTCAACATCCAAAAAAGTACGCCAAGTTCGATTAAATGTCAAGGTTTTGCTCACCGTCTTCTTTGATTATCGTGGCGTAATTCATCAGGAATTCTTACCACAAGGTCGTACGGTGAATAAGGAGTATTACCTTGAAGTTTTACGTCGTTTGCAAACGGCAATACGCAAAAAACGTCCGGAACTTTGAAAAAACACTTCGTGGACTTTGCATCGCGATAATGCACCTGCTTATTCATCGTTGCTTGTGAGAGATTTTTTAGCCAAAACTAACACCATAATCATGCCTCAGCCTCCATATTCACTGGATTTGACTCCCAGTGACTTTTTTCTTTTCCTAAAACTTCAGAAACCCATGAAAGGACATCAATTTTCAACGATCGAGGAGATAAAAACTGCATCGCTGGAAGAACTCAAGGCTATATCTCAAAATGATTATCAAAAGTGCTTCGCTGATTGGAAAAAGCGCTGGCACAAGTGTATTATATATCTAACGGGGATTAATTTGAAGGGAACAACATAAATATTGACCAATAAATAAATATTTTTTGAGAAAACCATAAAGTTACCTTACTTTTTGAACACCCCTCGTACTTTTAGTCTATTTATTATTAATATTGATGATTTAACCTTCAACTGACCTTGAGCATGACCTGATAGGGTTGTAATAACCCCGGATTTGGAATCAGCGTCCTACAAAACCCAAGATACCATACTCTTAGTTAACTTGTTATATATTTTGATAAATTGACCTTGAAAAATTGACCTTGATTAACTGACCTTGAAAAAAATCTGATGAGGCCAAACTGACCCCGGATTCGGATTAAGCGACCCCATAAATATATAACTACCATGGTCGCGTTTCTGAAGCTGACAACTTTTTTTTGTGGAGCTGTGTTATCTAATGATTATGATTGAATTTAAAAATCATTTTAAATTATTTTCATAACTAGCTTAAAATTTCAAAAATTTCTGTCTGATTATCAGGTGTTTGTCTATAAAATTTTCTGTATAATTTTTTACTGTAAGATATGTAAGAAATTCAGAATTTTTTAATGAATATTTGACATATAAGATATATAAATTATTTCAGTGTGCAATTTACTCTCTCATTACTAATTATATAAACTCTGTGTATTGGAGTTCAGCGTGAGTATTGTGCCTTTTTTTATTGAAAAAAAAAATAATAAACATATACTCTGTATCTTCCATATGATTCTGGAGAAGTACATGGAAGGTGTCTTACATTTTGGCCCATACTTATTGCAACGATCAGGATAACCTCATTAAAACCTAATCAAACCTTTCCTGACAGAAACGATATGAAATTTCGATAATAACGTTGCTGTTATATATATGTATAATTTCTTCAATGACGTTATTTCAAACCCTCTTTCCACTTCTAAATTCTAAGAAATTAACAATTGGTAACGGTGCATCAGCCGACTGTTTACCTGTAGGAATATATTAGAATTTAATTACATTTTTTTTACTCGTTCCCGTAAAAAGTGCTATTTTATATATACGTGTTTCGATCTTTTAGGGCTGCCGTGGTTATTTACAATACTTATGCAGCAAATATTATTCTCATATATTATTATAGGTTTATTAATTGTTATTTTGACATAAGAGGCAAATGATTTTAACCATAAAGCTTCAGACATAATTTCATACAGAGTATTTAGCATGAGTTGTTGAACTGGCTATCGAAATTTGCCTTTTTGTACTCCAACTAATCGACATACCCAACGAACTTTATGATCTCTATATTTAATGTCTACAAATGAATTTGAAATTTTGCAAATGACAGGTTGTACACATAACATGAAATCTTTACTAATATATGTTTAGTAGATTCTTTAAACAATTTAAATGGATAGCCAATTTCTGTCAGTGCCCTATTCATTATCTCCCCAATCAGAATCGTCGTAACCAATGAAAATATTAACAAAATTACATTTATTATAAATCAATATTGAATTAATTGAGCCTTCTAAATATCTCAAGATCTATTTCAAACATTGCCATAATAGAGCATTATTTTTATTTGGATATCTATTTAAAACATCTACTGCTGTACTTGTTAAGTAACAGTGAATTTATTTTGGCATTTACTTCTTATTTCCATTGAACTCTATCGTCTCAACATTTAATTTGTCCAAATGAATTTGAAATTTTGCAAATAATGGATTGTAGACATAACATGCAATCTTTACTAATATCAGTTTTCTCGTACAATCTGCGAGGTTTGTGTTTAATCCTTTCACTTCTTCAAGCCTTGGATTTCATTTTTAATTTATTTTGACTCATTTGATCTTTTTGAGAAGTAGACTCTGTGTGCGCCTGTTCTTATCATAGACTTATCGTTTGTTTTAGCTATCGTTTCTTATGAATTTAAGTTTGATGTATCTGATTTATTACTATATCGGATTTATTTTTCGATAACATTTCTGATCTCTTTTTATAAAATTATGCAAATCTAAATTTAATCCAATGACAAATATATATGAATTTCATTAAAATTTTGAGAACACTTAAGAATTTAATCTTGTAGCTTCATAACTTGTCTATTTTTTGAAAAATTTATTTTATCAACAATTACAATAACGAACAATAACGAATTTTTCATTTGCAATATCGTAAACTTTATAAATGTTTGGCTCATAACCAACTAAAACATCTGTTTATAATTTGTCATCGGATTTTCTTTTTTTTTATTTTGTTACATGAATAAACAATACTTTCAAAAACTGTCAAATACTTCAATTGAGGCTTTTTACCATGCAACTATTCGTACCCCGTTTCTTTTTTGTATGATAGCCCAAATTGTGGTTAAGCATAGTTAATCCAGTATGTAGCAGTTAAAACTATTTCTCCCCAAACCTCTGTGGCTATTTTCGTTCCACTTATCATTGCGCGGGCTTTTTTTATCAGCGTTTTATTCATACATTCCGACACGTCATCTAAACAAAAATCTTTTATTTCATTTGATAAATACTAGAAGTTCATCAAGCGCGCATACCGTGCGCATGAATCTATTCAAGAAGCAAATAAATTTAATCATTAATGCGTATTTTCTCAAAACAATATTAGTAATATAAATATAAAAAAAATTTTAATCAATTTATAGTTTAGAATATCTGAAAGTTTACAAAAAAATTATAAATATGATTCTTTATATACATAATTTTTGACGGTGGTGTTATTAGGACAACCTGTAAATATTTTTATTGAATTCCAAGAGCGAACTCGAGATTAAGCAACATATAACTGTTTATGGTTTGAAACATTATTTCGGATGATTTTAATGTAAAATGCGTGTTGTTGACGACGGTTTTTAAATACGTTCAGATAATTGATAATTTCAGCTTAAATTTAAGTACGTATCACCAAATATTTTAATAAAACACTTTTTATTAGCGTATTTATTGTTACAGTTATTACTTTTAGCTTGTGAATTTGTAATTGACATGATATTATTTTACTTATTATTTTATTTTGTGTAAAACTTCTCCAAACGACACATATGTTTGTTTACGTCTGATCACAAGAGACTGGGATTTCTATGTATCAAGAGGTGCTGGTGTACAAAAAACGTTTCTTTTTAATTTTCTACGAATTTTTATTTATTGCATATGGTCCTAATAAACATAATGGTATTATAATACAGTATTCCACAAGCTTTCCTCGCGGATTCTGTTGATTAATCTAAAAAAATTGTAAATAATAATAAAAATGATTTTTGCTCAAGGTAATCACTATGCGATTAATCGGGTTATACATTCCGTATATTTTACAAATCAAACATTTTTATATTTGACTTTATAAAATGTATTTTCTAAAATGTTTAAGAACAATTGTTGTTTACCTGATCTACAAGTTTTAAAATATAATCTTAATTATATTGAATATTTAGTCATAAGTTAACATCGAAAAAATATGTAACATTCAGTACTTTTTTCGAACTGTTATTTTTAAGTCAATTCGGTAAATGTACATACATTCCCATGGAAATTAGAATGCAATTTAAGTATCAACAAATTACTGGACTAATCGAACACTCATCGTTCATTGATTTTTCAATGTCGTTATTAAAGTTTAAGTGCTTCAACCAAATGATGTAATGTTTCTCATTTGTCTGACAGCAGCTACAACTCGAGCATTACAGCCAGAGCTACCACTCTGATATTCTTCAGGAAATAGTCGTAATAACAAAGACATCTGCTGCAGGTTCTCAGATAGTGTCAGACCAAGTTCTTCGAGTATATTCCCCAAATAATCTACAATAACAGATGTAAATATGTTATATTATTATCAATATTATTATTGAAAATTCACTTAATGAAACGGGAAATGTTTTATATACATAGAAAATGTTCACTCTGATGCCATCTTTGGACAGCTTTACCGTGTGGAAATATGACTTAGCCGTATGCTCATCGAAATACATGCGTTCAAATTCATATTTGCTATACGTTGTTTCAAAGCATACCGTACCTAACATGTTCTGGAAAGAGATTCTTGTCTCGTGTGTCTTTCAACCCTCGCTTTGCTCAGACATAAACTTCACACGACACAAAAATCTTTCTCGCACTAATTAGATAATGTACTATTAAGAGTTAGTATCTCGTATCGTCTTCCATTAGCCTTAGGCGTAACGAGCACCAATCGACGATTACGATATTTAATATTTTGAAAGATCGTTTTCACGTTAATCTCGTATAATTTATACGAAATTATAGTTTATAGTTCATGAAATATATCTATGATTACCTTACAATTGTTCATATAATTGGTTATACGTAACGAATTTTAATATTCATTATTTAATCGTAGATGCACAGCTAATGATTTTTTAGAAGAAATCTTTGAAAACACGTAAAATTCAAAAACTTATCAAGAAGAAATCAAGAACTAGAAAGCATGAAGAATTTCTATAGTGAGTATTCTGTTGAACACCGACGTCGTTGCTGCTTTTAGTTATTATTTAGTGTAACATTAAATACTTTTCAGTTTTAGTAGTAGCTCTATTTTCATATTTATAATTGCCTTCTAATTTATGATATGATACAATATCTTACACTTATTTTCAAATATTAAGCGACGTTTCAAAGACATTACGCTATTATAAAAATTGAAGACTTGCTTTAAAGATATCTAATTTGCAGATGAATGGGAAATTTTGAAACCAAACAAAATGTTCAGAGTTCTTTAAAAAAAATCAATAAATTGAAAATTTCTTTAATGTATTTTGTTTTACTTTGCAAGGATTGAAACCAATGCAAACGTGTATCTTACCAATGTCGGTAGCCAATTGTTTGCATGCCGCTTGATTCAGTTCATAAATTCCCCAGGTTTGATCTTGGAACATTTGACAGATTTCTTTTGCAATAATTCCTAATAAAATATTTGTAAAACCTGACTCGCATGATTCTTGACTGTATTGTGGATCCGCTGCTTTTAAAGCTTTTGTCAAGCTAGGATTATCCCTTAATAAAAATGGCTCCAAGTGCTGTGGTAATGTCATTAAATATTGTCCTACTTGGGTTATGTATTCTTGTGGGGCGAAACTGTAGTCAGGTAAATCTGAGTTTATTGTGGGAGCTTTGTTGACGTCGGATGACCAAGCCGGTGCTCTTCTGACGAGGAGCAATTGTGTAAAAATAGGAGCAAAAATAACGTCGTAAGTTGATCTGTGCAAATCTGAACAAAGTTTTCGAATGGATTTTAAGGTAGGATCTAAAATTGATTTGTTTCCTGTAAAAAAAGTCATCAGAATTAGCGTGAGCCTTGAATTTTTTTTAATGAATTCTGCGACGTGCATCACCTGTTTTTACTGATTCAACAAACTCTCCTAATTCTTTTTGAGCAGAGGAGTTAAGAAGAAGAGATTTGTAATGATTGAAAGCACTGCCTGCTGGATTCTGCAATTTGTCGTAAGCATCAGTTATATCGCTCAGTAACTGCTTTTCAAAGTTTTCAACCAAACTCAAAAATTCGCCTGCAATTTGATTCCATATTTTTTTCACGATTCTGTCACTCGCCTCATGTGCTTATCAATAATTTACCTGTGGTTTGCATAAGTGTCAGGCACATTTGGAATAAGTTCCAGTCTTCATGCTTGACTTTGCGCTTACTCAGCTGTCTCAGTCCTACTTTGAACTTGTCTTGATAGTTATTAAAAAACGACTGTAAATTGTATGTGGATAGACACAAGAATATTATTAAGGATAAAATTGTGACTAGTTGTATGCATGTGTTTAACCTATAAGGAACTCACATTGAAAGCCTTTACTAAACTCGGATAAGCGCATCCATCAGTGAAGACCATGCATCTTTTATTGGCCTCGCTGGCGTAATCCATAATTTTGGCGACGCTCAGTGACAGAGCGTTTATTGTGTCGCTCAAGTCGTCGTGAGCTAATTCCAGGGAGTTAAGCTGTTGAGACAAGTGTGACGATTCATAAATACCATATTTCGCTATGTACGGAATGTAAGGCGCATAGATGGTTTGCGCAAGGATCAGAATATTGGGGTCTGCGATTCTCTCGAGCGAGGCCGTCTCCGTAATGGCGCTCAAATTGACGGCGAATTGCCTAGTGATCTGCTTCAATTCCATGAGCAAGGACAATTTAATGGTATTGGACTGCTGCCTCAACACTGACTCGATGCAATCCACCATGCTTGGATCTAGACTATGCAGCAAGTCTATGGTAAGCTCGATCAGTGTACCGAGTGCTGAGTTCGGGAAAACTTGGTTGCAAAATTTCACCTAGAACATGTGTACCTTTATAAAATACACTAGTTCGTATGTTCGATACTTTCAGAGTCGTTATTACCTGCTCTTGCCACGCGTTTAACAATTTGTCGTAATAAACTCGCAACCAGTACGTAATATTTTCCTCTTGGGCGAATTCAATGGCCTTTCTCCATTCTTGCGCTAATGACACTTTTAAGCAGTTCTGATAATACTTGAGCAGCTGAGGTAATCGATCCATCTTCGTAAATATGTCGACGTACAGTCTCGATTGTTCTTAAATTAAACAAATACATTTTTCTCCGACCCAATCAATGGACTTACTAGATTAGCGTACCTAAGCTTCCTGCCGTGAATGCCTGCACAAGCTTCGGACTGGCTAATGCCTCCAAACGGTTTTTGAGACCCTCCAACTGTAGCTTTTTATCTTCGTAATCGGGCGCATCCAGCAACACCGATAGTGATTTTTGCATACTGGCTATAGTGTTTGCTATTTTGTTGATATCGCCAGATTCAAAAATATCATCTACGTCGTTCGACAACGCCAGCCAGTTGTCCGCCTCTTTCAAACTCTCCGTTTTATTGATCAATTCCGTTTTCATCCTGTCATACTCTTCCAAAACACGAATAGAAGAGGACGTGCGCTTTTCAACCTGCAGTGGGAAAATCTCTTACTATCGGTATGCACGTTCAAATTTGATACTATACCAGAATGGCTTTGTATGTACATTTTCGAAATCAAGCTTTACAACTTGCATCTTTTCCTTCAAAGACAGAGCTTCTTGTTGCAATAGCTGAGCATCCCGCAGAATTTTCGGCATGTTCGACAAAACATTTTGACCGCTATCATCCAGCGAAGTACTGACTTGTTGTACGTACAACTGTAGCTTTGTCAATGCGGTTGAGAGGTAGGACTGTAACGTAAAGTTCTGATCATTCTAATATTACTAATTCTAATAATTTGGATTATTTTTTGATAAGTGGATATACCGATAGAGTTTTTTACGCAACTCGAATTATTTACGTAAATAATTTACAATTTCGATTACTATCTTCACTGCTATCTCTTTACCAAATGCTGTGGTCGGATTGCTGCGCCAATCCGAGATTACGAAGCATTGCATTGAAATTACGAAAGACTATTGGAACATGAACACCGATTATTACCACTGTTGCTGTCAATAATACAAGTACACTTGGAATATAACAATACGAATTTTATGGGTTTGTGAGTCAAAAGAGAAGCCTTTCGACGCACGCGATAAATTATCAGCATGGAAAATGGAATCAAGCCCTTATTTGAACCCTACAACAGTTAGCCGACTCATTGCGGTCATTTTGCAATGTGCTAAGTGGATTTTTCGTTGCTTCAACCAACATAGTCGCTTTAGTTGGCTTTTCATATTTTGACCTGTACCAATAGCTTTTCATTCTTAATGACAGCGCCTCATAAAAGTAATATTCACGTGCGTATATGTGCGAGAGCAAAATTTACACCAAATGCAAATTCAGCATGACTGAGCAACTTGTTATTCTTGTATATTATGAAAGATGACGATCTATTTTTCGATTCAGAGCATTAAAGGAACTTTTTTATAGAAAACTAATATTTGTTTTTTTTTTAAAGCGACCTTCAAAATCACTCATTTATAAATATACCGATGTTCAGAAATCGAAGTTGAGTAATTTTTCATTAATAAGTTTTTTATGTAGGTGTCTAGAAAAGTCTCACTTTGCTGCAGATTATATCGTTTTGTTATACTGTTTCATGTTCTTATGATGTCGAACTTATCATGAATGTTTCTATTTCACAATACTCAAATAAAAGTGTGGCCTTAACCGGAGCGTTGGCCGTGGCACGTTGGAGGAGCTATTTTTCGAAACAGATCTGGAATCCTCGTCGAAACGATTATTACGATGTTTGTACGTTGTAAATTTAGAAATAGCTCTGAATAAGCGACGGAGAGAAACAGCTAATTAAAGCGCGATGGCAGTTACAAAAGAAAGTTAAGAATGAAGGAAACGTACGACGTACGTTCACGCGCGCGAAACGCTAATCTAAGGTAAACTTACATCTGGAGGACGAGATGTAACAATTCATGCAAACTCTAAGCGTAAAAGAGCGCGAGGCAAGAAACTAGTTTGTACGCACGAAAAAGTGACCGAGAGAGAGAGAGAGAGAGAGAGAGAGAGAGAGAGAGAGAGAGAGAGAGAGAGAGAGAGAGAGAGAGAGAGAGAGAGAGAGAGAGAGAGAAAGAGGGGGCAGGGAAGAGAGCGAACGAATGAGCGAGCAAGAGAGAACCCGTGACCGGCTCTTGGCTCTGACATATAGTCGCGTTCGCATAGGTATGCATATAGGTATGAGTGCATAGTATAGATGTTTGTTACTGCAAGTATCGCCACCTTGCTCGCTCACTGCAAGTTCATTGGAAGTCAGTAAGCAGGGGCCAAGAACCGACAACAACCCCGTATCAGCGCAAAAAATCGACAAAGAAGCAGTGGCAGCGACAGCAGCAACGAGCAATATGCGCAAACACTGCTGGAAAAATGTAAAAAATAGCAGCTAGTGAATCTAGAGGATATGGGACAGAAGCGTTCTCGTACGTAAGCCAATAGCACCGAGGCAGCAGATTATGGACTATGGAACGTATATGGTAAGCACCGCATGAGCGCGCGCATACGAAGAGGGAGCGCGTGGGGGTGGGGGAGGGGGGAGTGCACGAAAGGAAGAAGGGGGAGAAGAAATGTGAAGCAGCGAGAGAAGCCCGCGCGATCGTGTCGAAGGCCGAAAAGCACGCGCGCAGGCTGCAGTTTGTACCGTATTAAAAGTACAAGCACTGTTTCGTAGTGTTGACGAGTTCGCTTCGCCCCGCCTAGCTATGGACTAAGTAACCAGTTGTTATACGAGGCTAGCTTTTCACGGCTTTATCGTGAAAATTAGTCATAGCAACGACTGCTAGACAACTTTCTGGCCCAGCTTGTTGTTCCTTCCTTCTTTCCTTCCTTCCTTCCTCCATTCCTTCCTCCTTTTCTTTCCTCTTTCCTCTTTCAAGGCCGACGACCTACCTCAATGTTGTCGCGCGCCTCCTCAGACTTGCAGATCTCGTTTATCAGCTCGACCGGCTCGAAAGCGCCCTTGCTAAACTCTGCAATGTCCTGCAACGTTATTGTTCAAGTGCAGTTTCAATCATATGCTCTTTGACATTGTACATTCATAAATTGCTAGTGGGAGTGTCAGTGAGTTTTTAAACGTTTATTTTGTGCTGATCAATATAACTCAAGATTGCTAGAGTCATCATTATCAAGAAGTGACTTCGCCAGGAAGATTAGCACTGCGTCGTAAGTTTGTTTACTATACTCGATCTCGTTTGCAGAATGACTCGAGTGTCGCGTACGCGGAGGAAAGTTATTGAAATGTGAGATGTGCGTACACCCGTTATGTGTGTGTGTGTGTGTGTGTGTGTGTGTGTGTGTGTGTGTGTTTGTGTATGTGTGTGAATGTGTGGGTCAATGAAAAAGCGAGAGAGCAACGAGAACGTTCGCAGGTTAGGTAAAATTTAGAGTGACTTTTTTTAACAATGTTTGTGCTTAAAATGACGGGAATAAATGATTCAGAAAGAAACTCCTCTACACGGAAGATTTGTTACTGTCATTTATTGTCTCGGTGAGAAGATGGATAATGACGTGGTGCACTCGAGCGTAATCAACAACCGCACGCTGCAGAGGTTAGAAACACTCGAGGCAAGCTCTTACCAGCTTGTCCATTTTACCAACAAAATGTATTTTTCTTATAGTATAGCCGGGCAGGGTTGTGCGAGTTGACCGTTGTTGACTCTTCGTAGATGTGTAAGCGAACACTTTTCCGTGGATGATTTCGTATGACGTAGATTTTGAACACTAATACCAACAATGCAGCTCAGCCCGTGGCAATCGTAGGCCGTAGATCACTCTCGAGTTGTGGCTCGGGCTCGGCCCCTCTGCTATAGTGTAGAGGCGCCTTGGTGGCTGTAAGTCCTATACGAATTGTGTCAAATGCATAGCTCTAGTCGCATTAGTCGTCATAAACCGTACAGGTGTAAAACTACATGAGGGATTTTTAAATTGACAGTAGCTCGATTGCTGGGGTTTCGTGAATTAATGCTGCGTTCGTCGATTGCAATCGTGCATTATTTGTTTTTTTTTTCAATGCAAAAAAAAATTGACGTTCAAGATTGTACGATTGTCGAAGAATCTACAGGGATAACGAACACGATATCGGTATATTGCGATTAAATAAGTGGATAAATGGTATGATATAAATGGCTGTGCTAAATAAGCAGTGGTTCGCAATATCGCAGGGAGACGCATATCGCGTGGCCTAGGGCGTTTTCTCTTGGCTGGTGGCGGTTTAGTGTAGATTGAGGGGAGGTCGGGTGGTGCAGCATGGGAGTAAGACGCCCAGAGAATGCAAGTCGATAGGTAGCTAGAGAAGAGTCGATGCTGTGTGCACCGGCTGTACTTGCAAGCAGCACCACCACCGCCACCCACTATTGATCCTCGCTCTCTCTTCCTCTGGCGCTCTCTATCCCGCTTGCGTGCGGTCGCACCTATGTACCTCTCCTTCGCACCGTAGGCTGCTGCTTGTAGCGGGCATTAGGTTAGGATCTCCAGTGACCCAGTAGATATACAAATTACGCGTGTGTATCATCTTGCGAGACCGCTCGCTTAAGATCTTACAGATCCCCAGTTTTTGTTTGTCATACATACAGCTACGAAGGTCGCCATGCTGTGCTTTCCCTTGTACTTATATCCTTGCTCTTTTTGTCACTGCATCTGCACTTGCTTTGTGTAATTTTTGCTGAGCGCCTTCGCTGAGAAAGAAAGAAGAAAAGGGATGGTAGTTGCGCATGATCACTTCAAGGACCTTCGTGAATAAATGCCCGAGACGACGCGTACGTACAACAAGCTTTGTGCTGGCTGTTCTCTCTCTCTCTCTCTCTCTCTCTAGCTCTCGCTTGCTCTTTTAGTTCGTTTTATTTTCTCGCCGAGTCGTATACCTTGCAAGCAGCCCTGTTGGCCTTCGCTAACTTTTTTTTGCTGGCGAATTGGCGCTCGCTGTTCGCTCCTTCGTGGTTACACGTCAGTCGAAGAAATTCAAAACGCCGTAACAATATTTCATCACAGATTGGTTATCCTGTGCGTTTGCACCCTTTGTTTGTTGGCCATTTGGTGTTGCTTGGAAATACAATTGCAGGCAGTTGCCACGCCTTTTTGTACGTCAAACGTCACACGACAAGTATATGATTTCGCGGGTTTCTTTAAAAAAATACCACCTGACGGCGGATTTCCGAATTTTCGCGCGTTTTTGCTGCGGCTGCGCGTGCTTACCAGGTCTTGTTTGACGCGTCTTCACATTGTATAGCACACGTCCCTCAATTAAAACAGCGCTTTTCGTGTTTTTCCTTTTACGTTTTCGTTGAATGCTCGCAGTCTTCTACGTGTCATTCATGCAACAATGGTCATTAATAGCCCATTTATACTGAACGATAGGATGGTTTTTCCAAGTTACTATATTGTAAATGGGAATCGCTAACATGTAAGGAATTAAATGACCGTTGTGCTTTATGGTATAATGCATGTTGACTACTTGTGTAAAGCCGTTTCCCGTAAGATTGCAAGTAAACTGCACTGTCCGAGCACTTGGCATAATTTACGAAGCAGCACATAGCTAGAGAAAGCTTTTGGCTCGAATCTCAAAGCTCTATGTACATAAATGCATGGCGACATTTTCTACCAGTTAACAATAGGACATGCTACGGCAAAATGATTTGAAAGCACTGAGCGAGGTTCATTTGAGACAGTATTAATTGACAGTGTACTGTGTATCAAGCTATCGCCTGCTCACTCCTTTTATTATAGCGTGCGATCATGTACATATCGGTGTTTGTCTCAGGCTAACTCCACGGGTCTACGTGTTTATCTTTCATTCGTATTTATGGTATCATTCTTGTATATAGTAAAAATTCAAATTGGAACTTAGTGACCAAATCAGTAGTAGATACTAGCAATTATGTAAATAATGTGATGTGCGATTTGCTTGTACCTCAATGTAATTCATCGTATATACGTTCCCGTTGCAACCACTGAAGATATTGCCAAAACTCCTGCAACTTGTTGAAGATTTTTCTGACTTTTACTTGGTTCGTCAATCACGAATTTGGGAATGAGAAGCCGAAGGGAAGATCTTCCTGCTCTTTAATCATACGTACACTGAAAGAATTGCTCCAATAAAATGCGCTATAGTTTCGGTAGAATTTACTACAAAACATACCGCATACATAGTTTACCGCGTACTCGAGTCAGTATCAAATTTATTAAACCTTATTAATTTCTACTACGGCAATAATAATTTTTATATAACGATATTGAGAAAAGTTCATTATACAAATAATAGAAATTATTATGTACTACAATAAAAAGTATTATGTTTTAATAATTATTAAAATATGTAATAATATATGTTAGAATAACAAATAAAAATTATTATGATTTGAACAATTTTGATAATGAACATAAGAAAAATGACTAGGATTAGATTGAAGTTTCTATCGTGTACGCAGTAGCAACTGCATATTGTGCAGAAGCAATTGATTAGACCATAAGTTGTATGTATGAGATTACGCGTAGATGGTAGTTCAATTTTCGCAAGTGATAGAATAAATATTTGATTACCGTAAGAAATGTCAGTCTGAATAGTGCACGTAAAAATGTATGCAATTAAGCTGCTGACAGGCGAACTATATGATACATTAATTAACTTGCGAACTAATATATAAATAAGATGCGATATATATATATATATATATATATACACACACACACACTAAATTAAATATATATATATATTTAATTTAGTATACCGAAGCAGTAAAAGTTCTTATGTACATAATAAAATTTACTAAAATTTACTTTACTGTACTTATAGTACTAATTACTATTGGTTCTAGTAAATGTTAATATGATATATAAAAAAATGTCAACATTTTAATTTTACTATGTTAGACAGCAACTTTTACTACAGTCAAAATATGTCCCATGATTACTAAGTTTTTAAGTAATTTTTACTACAGATTATGGCAAATATTTATAATAACAATTCTCTCAGTGTACGAATAAAATAGTGCTTGCGCTTATTCCTATCCTTTCTAATATTATTTCTTCATTCAGAGGTGCGTTTTTTATTATTCATAATAGTTTTATTTGGCTCTACATTTTTCCTGGTACATGTCTGTTAAATGATATATGATTCAGCTCTATTTCATTTTTACATTGCATCTTCAGTTTTTTTATCGAACGATTATTTAATTTACCGATTGAAGATTGAAAAGAAAATTTGTAAAGTGTCAAAAATTATATGAATAAAATAATGCTCGTTAGAAACGTTGTTTATTCACTAAAAGCATTACCATATTTCTTTTCTGTTTAACTTGTGCTATCATTTAAATAAATAAAAGCTCTCGATAATGTTCATTATTATGTATTAGTGAATTTATTATTGTCACCAAAAACATTATACTCCGCACGTCTTTTACTGACATTTTATTGTTTATTTTCATGCAACACGTCTGAAACGATGCCCGGAGCTTGTACTTTAGTAGTAGTCAAATGTCGCATTATTATGGTTTATTTATTCCCTGTCCTCGCAAGATTGTTATGCATTCTCCTTACGTTGAAGGGATGTTCCAGTGCGCTTTCGATATCTTGAACAGACTAGTAAGATGTATGTACAATGTACATCTGTAAATTGGTTCAACTTGAACACTTTAGCAGGTCATTTCTTGGCAAACTAACGATTTGTCGAAGTACAGCCAGCATATCCTAACTTGCTTGCTTCATAAAATTTTTTGGTCGATGTCCGTGATAGCATTAAGTGTACTAAATAAGAAAATCTAGTCTTTGAAGTATCCCCAGCGTAATGCCCGAATCACAGATCGTTGCTAAACAGCAAATGACCAAACGAGCTTAGTTCTTTTTTAAATTCTTTTGCACGACTTAATACTCTCGAGAGAATTTTTCTATAAAGCACAGCGGCTGCTTCATCAAGAATGACAAATGATCGATGACATATACTTCGAATGCTAATGTTTTATGGCATAGACAAATAATTTAAAGAGAATCACGATCGATGCTTCCTAATTATTGTTTATATTTCAGGCTGCTATAATACAGAGAGGGAGTAGAATCGTCTTGTAATGTTTTCTACGTTACTGACGACAGCTACATATGCTCTCTGCTGTACCTTTAGTTTTCATTAAAATCAGCGAAATTCAGTATGGAAGTCATTGTCGATTGTTGCATTTCTTTGCACAGAAACGGGTGCACAGACTACTCTGACAATGATTAGTCGTAATTTGGATGGGGACCTTTTTATAAACAGCAATTATTTCGAATATCTACGATCTATATTTCAGGCCAAACCATTGGAGGCAGACCGTGAGCAATTTTCTGCATCGGCTGTATATTTATAAAAGCGCAGAGCACTTTTCCTCAACAAAGATAAAGAATCAACAAATTGAAATTAACACGGCTTTTTGAATGAACTATTGGATGAAATAAATCGAAATTAGTTCACAGTACTTTTATCACATTGATCCAGTAATTTACATTGTTTCCTCAATATTATAATCCCTACTAGAAGCTACACTAAACAGCAAAGATTGTTTATTATTTATCTACTTTTATGGATACGTGTGGGGGCTTTAAAATGAGAAATACTTTTTTTATTTACTTTTTACATGTTGCACAATTTGTTAGTTGTTAAAAGTCATGCTTGTCTGCACTTAATGGCGTCATAAGGTAGATTTACCTTATAACGCTTGGTAAATTTTGCTCGTTCAACGATAAGTTCAGTCTAGTATTCGACTATGAAATCACACGTAATTCATATTTCCCTTAGCTCGTACCCAGTGGTTTTCTTACAAATGGTATGATTATTTAATCTGCTCTACGACACCTCTCAGGCGTGGTAGCTGTATTAATATAATTAATAGAAACTTGAATAGTGTGACTGAAATCTACGAAATTACATGGTTAGGGACATTGTTTTCTGAATATAAATAAATGAGTAATTTTGTGAATTAGACACATTTTTTAAATGACTGGTCATTTTATTTTAGTTACCACTAGCAGCAGATTGGCTAAATGAAAAAACTCGTCTAAAATGAAAGTACAGTTTTGTGTGAATTTATTTGTGCATTCAGGTAGATGAAGTATCGTGTTCATTCGAGATCAGTTTGCATTTGAGTGAACAGGAAAGAAAAGTGCTAACGACATCACTCTGTGGTCATGTCGAACTTTAGTTTTACTTATTGTTCGTTTATCAATAATTCGTAGCCAATTTATTCTAAACTATATTGTTATTTATGTTTAATAGTCGGAACAAAAGTATTTGTACAATATTTTCTGAACTATTATTGCAAGTTGATATGTATGCATGAATATACTGTACAAACATTTTTAAAAGTAAATTGTGAATTGTTAATCGGAAATTAATTTAATTGCTCTTCTTACTCCCAATTTCACTGCGATGTACCGTTAGTTAACGGTAAATGTGTGTCCTTCATCCAATAACGTTGTTGACCAATTTTCATTCGAGGTTGACTACAACTAAGACATCTGAATTTTAACTTAGTTCACGTGTTCGTCGCATATTAATAGATCATCATTCAGCGCGTATTGTATGCCTTTGACTAGCCAGCAATAATTTCTGAGTTGACAGTGTCGCTCTCGGCATTTGAATTTGCACTCATAAAGTGATTATACTGAGTGAAAACTGATACACCGTATGTTCATAAATAAAGCAACTTGGTCGGTAGAAAGTCTGCACAAGCAGCAGTCAGTCAATGTCGAGGCCATAATTTGACTGAAAATTGTCGGCGTGCGAATCATAGAGTCAAATATTGACGGCATTGAACTAGAAACAATGTGCAATAGCGCTAACGGAGATGCAAAACTAATTGAATTATGTAAGTGTGGGTGGAGTGTACTGCTGTAATATACGGCGCACACATGACGCACGAAGCATGCGTTAAATTATACGAAATGCTTGCCGTTTCTCGCTCGTATTTGCTCGAAAAGTCTTGTTAGTGGCTCGGTTAAATGGAGATACGCGTGTGCGTGTCAGGAAGAAAACGAGCGCGCAAGTTGCGCGTCGACGAAATGTTGCAATGCAACTTGGTGATACCGACGGACATCTAGAAGACGCCTAAGATTTTTCATGAGCAGAAAAAAAACCGTGTCGTTTTGAACGAGTGGACGAGGGGAAACGATAGAGCCGAGGGAGCAGTGGAGCGAGGCCCGATAGAAGCGACTAGCGCCGAGACGAGCAGGGACCAAAGTTGAGCGACTTCCGGAGCGCGAATCGCGGCAATCGTTCAAAGGAATGGGGCCTGGTGACGCGCAACGCCGTGCGGAGATGCATCCCCGAAGACTCGGCGCTGAGAGGAACGCGGCGGCTCTGGACCGCCCGCGCCGCCGCGCAACGGCAACGAGTTGCGCAGGAGCCAGCCTAGGCATTGACCGCTTGCTGCCCGCGGCAGTAAACAAGCAGCGCATAGCAAACGGCTTCTCGGAAGATTGCTTGTTCAACGAGACGCCGGTGACACCGAGCTCGCCAGGTAATTGGCTGCCCACCGCATTATTATTATCGCATATCGAGCCTCGGCTCCAATTCACATTATTGTTGTCGCCGCCGCCGCCGCCGCCGCCGCCACTGCTGCCGCTTCTGCCGCTGCTGCTGCCGTTGCCATTGCCGTTGCCGTTGCCGGTGCCGTTGCTGTTGCCGTTGTCGTTGCTGTTGCTGTTGCTGTTGCTGTTGCTGTTGCTCAATGCGCTTGGCCTCTCGCAAAGCTGTTCATTCATCATGGGCTCGACTAAATTTGGATCAATTTGGTTTATGTTGTCGAATGAACGACGCTCTTGAACGTTCCCAAAACCCTTAGACGGTAGTCCGGTTGCTTGGAGCTCTTCGTCTCATTCGAGCATTTTACTAACACCGCTTTATAGCGCGCAAACGCAATTCGTGCTTTGATGCAGGACTGCGAATATGGCCACCGATATTCCAAGGCAAATTGTTGCGCGTTTGCGAATAACGGCATTGATGGCCCCTTTCTCGGCTCCTCATCGGGAAATACGAAAGGTTGACTGTCATCATTCATTGCTGATTCATTTTTACGCTCAAGTGTTTACTCAATAATAACGATTTGTATTACCGCTACTGATTGGGCATCCTGAATTATTATTTATTTCCTTCAAGCATATTGCCATTTATGACAAATGCATATAATTCATCGATATCGATAGATCGAAAATAACCATTTTTTTGGTTAAACGGTTAACCGAACAACGAAGACATCCATTCTCAAGTTGCTTTTTTTGCCTATATTTTTTTCAAGCTAAATCGATTGACTCATTAAACAAGATTTATATTTACACGTTATTTCTTGAGGATGTTGCATTATGTTCCGGTTTTGGCTAAAAATCAATAGAGAACGAGGAAAAGTAGTCTCTCTGTGATTGGTGAGTTTTCAGATTGGTACTTGATATTTGATTGGTACACTATCAAGGGAATAAATTGGCGCGAGATTTTGAAATAATTCGTTTTTTTAAGTCTCTTTAATGATATTGATACATTAAAAGGTATTAACGAAGTAGGCAAAACAAATGAGACTACACTCGCATTTTAAATGTATTTCATACCATTGCATTCCGAATGCTTTTAAAATGTTATTGAAGGCCTCACATCGATGTCCATAGATATTCATGGGAAAAATTAGTTACAAGTTTGCCTCGATGGTTTGCTTATGTTAATACGCACTTATAAAAACATTACATAGGAGAATAACGATTCCTAGAATGCGACTAGTCAATTTTGGAGCGTTTTATACAGCAATTTCCTTATAGAAAATATAAATCCAATGATGACGCCGAACTATTGTTTATGTTGATGTTTACATTGAAAACAAAATGTTGCGCGCGTCATATAACCAAACAAATATCAGTCCAACACTGAAAAAAGTCTGTATGAAACGATACTGATAAAGTATTTATCTTGAATAGAGTTAGTAGTCCATTTCATTTAGCAAAATAATTACAAATGTCTGATGTGATATAATATGCTACATATTTTATGTAAAAATGAAGTTGTCGTGATTTGTGATACAAATGTGATTATTTAACATTTTCATCAAAGATTATTAACGTTATTGAGTTCTGTAGCATAAATTTTTCATTTTTTTACGCGCATACATTTCGTACTTTTCATGCATCGCAATGGTAGACTGATTTGAAAGCGTAATGCTTGCTTCTAATCAAGGAGAATCCAATATAGAAAATAAAAAGGAACAAAAAGCTCGTATAACTCAATAAGCATAGTATGCGATATGTTACACGAAGAAAAGTAGCGTGGCACAGAAGTAAGAACAAGAAATGTAAATAAAGGTAATTTTTCTTCGATCAATTTTTAATATCATAATATTAATTTTACACAAGAGACGTACGACTGCAATTCCAATTTGAAAATAGTCAAGAATAACTTTTCAGTTTATCTTATCATCATTTGATTTTTTCTGAACATGAGCGTAAGAGTTTTGCGAATGAAATATTATGCAGATGTAAAAAGTTAACCAATATTCCAGCAAATAAAGCAGCCAAACCAAAAGCACATTGTAGTCAAACAATTGTGAAGATTCCTATACTATTTAAAATGATGATTCTCCTTATAAAAAGGTGATGCTACGTTGAAGCATTTTATTCGGATTTGATTAGCTGAAATATGGTTACGTTTATGTTGTTACGTGGCGGCAAATAAGCGTGCATATATGGTTTCGAGTTAAACTTTGAATAGTAAAATCTCAAAAACGTAAAAACAAGAGGCTGTTCTTTGGAATTATTCTGATTATTGTTTACTAATAATCGATAATCTGATATTTGAATATGCAATCGTTGTTCAAAGAAATAGATAAACTTGAAAAGATCTAAGATTATTTTCCATATGATAAATTATAAATTAGGAATACGTAAAACTGTTTTGCTAATGTACATTTTTTTATCATGACTTGTGTTTTTGAACACGTCTAACGTCACTATTTTTATAAATAATGTAGATTGTCAGTCTAATCTTAATTACAATAACAAGGATGGAGCCGAGTAATAATTTATGTGACGAAGAAGTAAACAGTTATTTTCATGAAAGCATTGTCGACATGTAATTTGTTTTAGAAATATTCCAAAAAGTATCTCAAGTACACACAGCGAATGCTATCTAACGTGAATTTAGTAGAAATATCAAGAGAAGGGTTCAAATCAAATACATTACTAGTATATTAGTGAATTTGAGGAACCAGAAATCGTTGACGTCAATAAAGGTACAGTTTCTGCATCATTAACCACAGATATCTAGCTCATGTAGTTTGACGAATTATCGGCAGCAATGGATACTCTATATACGGGCAATACCATATTCTCTTGCAATCAAAACACCCTATTAGACACGTTCTAAGGATCAGCAGAAGATTGAATGAGAATAACCGATAAAATGGAAGTTGTACTTGCCTGAGACAAATAAGATATCGAAAACGGAATACCGATAATAATAGTACATTACGATACAAGTGCGAAAAATTAGATTCGTGTCTCGTGTGGCGTTTACACCCGAGCGAAGCGAGACTCTTTCCCGAACATGTGCCGTACCGTATTTTTTTATACGACGTGTGGAAAGTGTGATTTTCAACGCACGTTTTCTACTGAGCGTGCGGGAAAGACACACTTTGCGCACGGAGTATCGATAAAATAGTTACTGATGATACTTTTTTGAAACGAACTTATTCGGATGGTAAATATAATTCAAATTGCAGATGGGTTATAATCATTGGTTACTATACTCAATAAATTCTTTTTATGGACATCCGAAATAAGTATTATGTTCACTGTTCGAAAGCTAAACGATGAATAGTTTTTCATAACTTTTTTTTTCAAAAAAATGCTCTTAAAGTATGGAAACTGAAATCATTAAGGATGGATTTCAATGGAGCTTTGAAAAACATAGATTAATTTATAGTAATATTTAATATAATATTTAATAGTCGATGGCAATTACAACATTTACAACAAGATTTTGCAAGATCCTTATAAAAAATTTGAAATTACGATAACAAAAGTAGAATGCACAAATCATTTATTAAAAAATTTAGCTCGTAATTTGAAAGATGTAGAAAAGGACGAAAACAAGGGAAAAATAGTTTTGAATACTATTTTTTAAATGAGGAGTGTGAGAGGAATGAGAAAAAATGAGGATGTGGAAATTGAGGAAAAGAAGTGGTAAAGCTAAGAAACAATATATTCAATTTACGGTATCTCTACGTACGGTGAACACTGAAATCGTGCTTCTTATTTTTATCAAAAATTGAAGAAAAATGAAATCAATTATGTTGAACTATTTTTGTTAGAACTTCGTTTTAAAATTTTTGTTTCTGAAATTTAAAAATTTATTTTTGTTAAAACTCTGTTTTAACAAAAACTAGTTAGTAGAAAAAGAACTAATTGGAGTATAAAAAATTCGCATGAATATGTCGATGTTACGTCTCAGTTTCTTAATGTAACATAAAAAACATTGTCTCGTGTAACCTCTTTTCAATATAAAAAGTTAAGTAATTTTTGACATTGAATTGAAAAATAAAAGAATTATATATATATATATATATATATATATATATATATATATATATATATATATATATATATAATAAAGTACACAGTAAGATGTTAAGAATTTTTTATGAAAAGTTGAATATAAAGTAAAATTATAGATTTAACATGTAAAAAGCTAATTAATATGAAAATAAAAAGAGAAAACATCAAAATGTAAACTCCCAAACAATAGGATAGCAAAGATTAGTTTGAATATAGAAAACTATTGCTGACAGCTTTGAATTTCAAAGAAGTTTACAGAATGAATAAAATTTGTTAATGAGCATGATTGAATTTTGTGTTACCTTATAAAAACAAATTTATTTTCTAATATGGCATTTATCCAAGCTATAATATGGGTTATCAGAACGGAAAGAAAAGCTAAGAAGTCATACAAACAAATATATGGAAAATCACTTTTTTTTTCCAAATATAAAAGCAACTTTTTATAATCAGTCGTGAATTTTGCGATCTTTTTATTTAGACACTTGTAGATACCAAATGGATAAGTGTACCAAAAGATGATACATTTTAGAAAAAAAATTTCGTGTAAACTAGCTAAACTCTATATTACATGTTTGTTATCGCAAATAATAGATTCTTGAATAAAAAGACAAAGGTTTGTACGAGAGTTTAATTCTGTTATTAAAAGAGTTTTAAATCAAGTAGATGGAAATAAAACTATAAATGAAAAAAGGAAAAGTAATAAAAGAAAGTATAATGATTAATTAAACATTTCCTTAAAGCGAATAAAATTAGACAATCTTCTACAGCAATCAATGGCATGTGAACAAAGTAATGTACGAAACCATGTAGTTGATAGAACAAATTCCATAAATGAAAAATATGAAAATGTATTATTCAATATCAATGTATTATTTAGCAATAAAATATTGTGTCTGCAGTCTGAAGATACTTTTACTTTGAGGGAAGATGAATAGGTAAGCAGATGTGTGATTGATGCTTTTATGATTCTTGACTTGAAATGTTCATGGAGTTATCATATCAGAGTTATTACTACTGATATGACTAATTTTATATTGAATGATAGATGTAATATGAATAAAAGTTAAACTTGCTTTATGTATAATTTAAATTCACATTACACTAGGACAGTCTTTTTACTTTACTGTCGCTCAAATCATTTATGTCTGATTTTCCTTGACACAGCTAATGAGTTGATTTATCGAATTAATCTGAATCAAGAACGAAAGAAAATTAATGATCAGAATTATAAAAACAGAATTTTCAATGATTGTAAAGAGTATATTCCTGAATGTTTTATATTTAATAAACACTACTTATGTGAAATTGACTGGAAGAAGTATTGTATTTATATTCTTAAATACAAGACACTTCACGATGATACAGTAAATTATGGCCTATTTGTAATATTTTATATGGATCATTTAAGCAAAAGAATTAAAATACTTGCAACTTACTAGTATAGTCAGTAACAAGCCAATATTACAAATGAAACTATCGTTGTTCTCAAATATTATAAGTAATAATTGTTCATTATGTTTAAACATATCTCATCTTTGAGACAAAATTTGTACGAGATGTAACTAATGGATTCACGAATATTGCTCAAAGTATTGTACTTTAATTGATTAAAAAGAATACTATAAAATATCAGTTATGTTTAAAAATGGAATATACCTAGTCTAGTAATGAAAAGAAAATCTGAAATAAATGCATTCTAACTTCATAAAACTATACAGAATATAGTAGTAAATTAATAGATAAAACATTTATTGTAATCTCTGATATTAAATTGAAATCAAGTCCACAACATTATTCTTCACGTTATTTTCTTTTACTTGTTTTTTTTTTTCTATAAAAATATTTGATTATTCACGAATTCATTTTGAAAGTTATTTTGAAAGCTATCTATAGCTACTAGTAGTCAATTCATCTTGATCCATTTTTGTTTCTAGTACACTAAAGAAATAAAAAATATTTTACAACACGAAATGATGAAAGGATTATGAAACTTATGGAAACGTTTTTTACGTTAATGTATGCGTAATAAAATAATAATCTGATTACGAAAAAAACTGATGAATTATACTTACTTAGTAACCTCAAAATCAAGTAAATCAAAAACACATACATTGAGATACGCCTGAGTCGTCTGCTATACTGTTAACAACTCACAGCAGCAATTTTTTTTTCCTTTTATAAAAAAATGAAAGTGAAAACAATCTATACTTGGCTGAACTGTAGTCACGTGGGTAATGGGTACATACAAGCGAATCGGTAGCAAAAGTAGTAAATCGGTGCTAATAAATGGCTCGAGTTACGAACGATTGATTGAATTAATAAAAAATAAGACAATTCGTAGGCATAAGAAAAGTATAAAATCCACATTCACCTGACGGTCTAACCCTAAAATAATATGGTAAAATAATCTTAATCCACTGAATTTGTATGTTAATAATTCTAAAAAAATTTTCCTGAAATTAAATTTGTAAACGTAAATTTAAAGTAAAAATTGTGATGAATGAATAGATGAAAGATAAGAGTAACGTTGCTTACTAAAAGCGGAAATTAAAAAATTTAGTTTATGGAAAGACTGCCCCAAATGAGCCGAAACTGACTTCCAATGTTTTTTTTTCAACAAAATAAATCTATTGATATCAGAATATCGTACAAAAACGTCTTGAATCGTAGACAAATATGTTAAAAAATAAAGAAAACTTACTTGTGAAGCGTAGCTGATGGTTTGATTTATCTAGAAAACGAAAAAAAAGAAACAAACTTAGTGCGCTTTCCATTACCTGTAGCTAAACACCTAGAAAGTTGCTATGATATTAAATTTGAAATTACAATTAAATCTACAAATATAATTTTTATTAAATTTCTCTTGATTAATTGATATTGATGGATTTTCAAATTATAGAATTATTTGATATATGTGACGTATTTTAGAATTTTTAATTTCATCTCTAAGTAATTGTGATTTGATTCAAGCACATGAAACTGAATATTAGTACAAATGAAAGATGAAGTGAAGGAGGCTTGACGACACTAATATTTAAATAAGCTGTGCTGCGTGCACGTTTGTAATATATTTATATATTTCATTGAATTTTACTTCGTGACATGAACATTTGTTAAATAACCACTTAAGTTTAGGAAAAATATTCGTTATGACTTGCGCAACATTTTGTTTTCAGCTTAAACGTAAACATAAATGACAATTCAGAATCATTATTCAATTTTTATTTTTTTATAAAGAAAACCACTGTAAATAATGCTTCCAATTTAATTAGTCGCACTTCAGGTATCATTATTTATCTATATAATTTTTTTTTAATTAGAAATAGTTCAAGTAAATCATTGAAGTTAAGCTGCGACTATTTTTTTTCATTATGTTTGTATATCGATGGAAGACCTTAAATTAGTTAAATCTATTTATAATTATGCAATTTGTTTGAAATCATGTTAATTAATAAGTTGAGCATTGTTATTTGGTTTGTCACATCAGAATTGTGTACGTTTTCACATTTGGTCTTCATTTTAAGTCTCATCTGCATTTCAAAAACGTTTTCGATACTCCGTGCGCAAAGTGTGTCTTCCCCGCACGCTCGGCAGAAAACGTGCGTTGAAAATCGCACTTTCCACAAGTCGTATAAAAATATACAGTACGGCACATGTTCGGGAAAGAATTTCTCGTCTCGTGTACCTTTCCACCCTCGCTTCGCTCGGGCGTAAACGTCACGCGAGACAAGAATCTACTTTCCCGCTCTTGTATCGTACAATGTACTATTTCTTCACGGTATGCTATTTAAGTTAAATTTCCGGCATGCCAAGTTAACATGCGAGGAATGTGTATGTGCGTTAGGAAATAAGACTGGATTTGTTTTATATAAGTAGTAATTATACACGAATTTTTTAATTTTATTTATTTAACATAATATTTTTCCATTGAGCAAAAAAAATATATTACTACTAAAAATACATTACTACTAACTTTTGAGCGAGCGAAGAATGCGCATTTGCACTCGCTTCACCAGCGCACGGGAATTCGGCAAGTCATAAACATTGCGAGGGTCGTCAACGCGTGGGTTTTCCCCAACGTTTGAGCGCATGGGAAAATGCGTGCACGTTCAACTTATCAGTGTAGCAAAATTTGGAAAGTTGGTTCGTCATAAATTTTAGACTGATAATTATAAGCGCAAAGAAAAAATGTAAGGCAAGCTGTCGTAAAAACCTGTGAAGACATTTTATTGTTTGGAAGTCCAACATTTGCGGTTGTGCAGGTGCTCACCATATTGCTTATTTTCCTATTTATATTGTTTCCAACACATAACAGCAGACGTTCATTTTCTCCAGTTGGAGCTTAAAACTTGCACGAGTAACATTGACTCGAGTCGAACTTGTATTTTGCGCTACATAAATACAATTTGGCTTACTTTTATCCAAATTGAGCTATCGTGCTCATACAAAACTCTCGGGACAATAATTTTGTCAAGGCTGTAGCAGCAGCAGTACCAGGATTTTCGTAAACGCTCGTCCTACAATTTAGCGCGCCGAGAAAGAGTACAAACGAAAACGAGATAAAGTATGTCTGGTAATGTTGAACTTGCCGTACCTTAGGTGAAAAAATAATGTACATAATTCTTGCGTGAAGTTGGTGATTACGTTCTGACGTTATGTGGGAATTACCTACTTCTAGCACTCTTCAATGTATTATTTCCAACAAATTTCATATTTGATGTAGTCACTTTCATAAACCAACAAAAGTAACTTAATCAATCCTGATATATCATAAATTGATTGTGTAAAGCCTCAAATTCAAGCTGTTATTATAAATGAATTCGGTTTGAATCGAGAACTATGGCGGTTCAGGCCAAAGCCAAGGTCCTAACATTAGCTATATTTACTTTGATTTATTATAAATCCGCATGATCCGTGCAGCAAGCTCGGTGTTTTGAATATTCTTTAGGAGTAAACGATTTTTCTTAAATTGAAAGAAACGAAAGTACTATGAAATCCATAAGTTTCTTATGTAATAAGAAACAATCGATGGAAGCAAGTAACAAAAAAAGGAAAAGTCATATTACCTCCAATTCTGAAGAATTTTTCGTCAAAATAACATAACTCTTTTTTCACTTTACAATTAGCAAAGAGCACAACGCTTATTCGTCAAATCTGACACTACATAGAACTTACATTATTGACTTCTTATTTATATAATACACGTAACCATATTTAACTTTCCCCCTTGCACATACATGCAAACATTAACAAGTTATGAATTATAATTCCTGGGGAATTAGTCAAGGAACCAGATATGGCCCTATCATAGGGCGCACCTCGGAAACTGTACCCTTTGCGTACCATTTTATTTGGAGTATTTTTTAAAGCCTTCGCAAACTCGACGTATCGTTTTCTAAGAAAGTTTAAAATATTTTTTGTTGATAATATACATAAAACAATGTACTAGGAATACGTAAGTTGTTAATAAATATTCAGGATATATTCCTGACATACGGTTAGAAAGCAAAAAATTATATTTTTCAAACTTTTGAATTTTTTAGATTTTATTTTTGTTGAAAATTCGCTTAAGAATTTGTTCCTTCTAAAACAACTCAATTTTACTATTATTTTGGGGTTGAACATACAAGAAAACCCTTGGTTAATTCATCCGAATCGAGAAGATCACGAGACTATACTGGCTCTTTGACTAGGTTCGTGTTAGAAACGTGTGCGCGCGCGTGTATGTGTGTTTGCACGCGCGCGAATGTTTACGATCCTAAACCAGAAAATGAAATCTCTTCCCTAACCAAGACACTTTTAAAAAGGTAAAACTGTAAAGTAGGCCGCAAAACCTTAATATAGCGTTAAAATCAGTTTTCTTTTTGGGGCACGCAAGTGCGTTCAAACTGTCATTTGCATTGTTACCACGACGCGCTCATTTATAATTATTTGTAAGGAAGGGTTCGACAGAAAGTTGGCGCTCGTAGTAACAATCCAAATTGGACGGCTCCTAGTAATAAGAAGCTATCTCAACGGGCTTGTTAATATGACATTATCTCGCGATGAATTAAAAAAAGGTGTTAGTCCTGCGTTTATTTCAGAGGACCTATCTCAGCGTGTAATTCAAAAAGGTGCTCTCTCGGCGATCCATGCAAAAGGGTGCTATCTCGTGTATAAATAGTATTTAATACTTATAATTAATAATACTGATAATGCTATTGGTACTGATAATTAATATTACTAATATTTCCTTGCGTTGGCCCTCGCGAGATAATACCCTTTTCGAATTGCACGCTCAGATAGCACCTTTTTGAAATTACTATTGAATAGCACCTTTTTCAATTAACTGCGAGATAACACTATATTACTAGGAAGCGTCGAATTACAGTTTTCATGCGCTTGCAAGCAGCTAGAAAAACAATTATTTAAAAACTATTTCTAAGGTTTGCAGCTGATTTGCAATTTGCATAGAGTAAAATAACATTATAATAGTGATAGAAAGAGAGCGAGAGAGAGAGAGAGTGCAACGACGTTGCACGTAGTATCTCTTAACGAGTATAGGTATACAATGGCATCAGCAGTCATTGACTGCGTCTCACGCGCGAAATAGTCGGCTAGACAGTCAATGACCAAGCCTGATAGTGTGCTTGTTGACTTGAAATCCACAGTGGGCCGGCAGCATATGAGCATGTGTGCGTACGTATACAAAGCGCGGATAGCGCAAGCAAGTTCTGTTGCATGAGCTGATACAAATATGCAATGCCTGTGCGTGTGTGTCGAGATTAACCAAAGATTGCTGAAGTCAATGAAAAAACACTTGCTGTGCCAGCACGAAAGAGAGTTGTCTGTAAGAGTAACAAGCCCTATAGAGCGCTCTATTCTTGCACAGCTAAGCCGCGAAGCGATGAGCGATGCGCGAGTTGCGCCGCAGCGTCGTTGACCAGAGTAGATGAAACAATAGTAGGGATGAGACGCGCCAGGGGAAAGCAACGAGGGGAATAACATGTGCCGATAAAAAAGACTGTCGAGAGAGGGAGAGGAATACAGTGAACCCCGGGCGCCGCGGCATCGTCGTTGTATGTTTTTCTCTACCCCTTCTGCTCGCAACGTATCTTCTCCCACTGCGGCTCTGGCGGGCAACCCCTCTCTTCTCGCGCGGTAGCTGTGCCGTGGTGCCTGCAGTGTAGGTTGCTTGTTACGGCGACGTGGCTGTGTATATGCAGTGGGTGCCCCTCGGGCTCTCTCCTGCGCCGCCTTCGATAAGCAGCTGGAGTGGGGCATTTCTGGAGTCGCGAGTAACGCGACCCCACTCTTGTTTACGCCTGTGAATGCTCGCGAGCTGCTTCCCCTTGCGCCTGTACCCCTCCATCGGCGTGCTCACGTTGTTTTTCTGCCTATCTCTTTCTCCGCAGTAGACTCATTCCAGCTCATTCACTGCCGTACGCTGCGTCGATGTTTTTTGCTGGCCTCTTTTTTTCCTCCGTCTTATCCATATAGTAGCTGCGCTGTGCGCTCCATTTTTCTTGGCGTCTTTATCGCATCTCGGGCTTGGGTCTCGGACCTCGGGCCGCGTGTGCTGCACAGGCAGCCGGCTACGATTATCCTCTTGTGTCTCGTAGTGTCACTGCACTTCACGCGGGCACGAATCGCACATGTGGTACCACGCGCAATAGCAGTTCGCAGAGTCGACGGAGCAATGCCCTTCGAAGCACTGCACGCGATGCCTAAGGTAGCGCGGCAAATGCGAGTGTAAACAGTAGGTGGCAGAGGCGGAATATTCGCATGCGCGCGAGGCGAAAATCGCCATTTTGATATGAATAACATGTCGAGTGCCGCGTAAAGCCGCAAACGCGCTGGATTGGCGAGAGGCTATTCCGCGAGAGAAAGAGAGTGGGAGAGAGCATCGGCGGAACTGCGAAGAAAAACAGAGACGGAACGAGCTAGCAGCCAAGACGCTGTCGGCGGCGCACACATTCACAAGCCGCTGTGTGACGTAAAAAGCATAGAAGTGGAGAGCAAAGCGAGCTGAAAGAAGGGGAAAAGTCGCGCGCGCACACAACAGAGCGGCGACCAGACGCAAAGAAAGGTTCACGTGTGCGCGCTGTCCGTGTGTACACAACGTAGCAGCGGGATCCACCACGTACGCGCATCAGCGAGGGAGAAAGAGAGAGAGAGAGAGAGAGAGAGGAAACACGCGAGTTTTTACGTTGTCGGAGAGCTCGAGAGCGAGAAGCGAAGAGCTAGGCCAAGCGGCGCGGTGCGGCGTAGGCAGTACTGCAAGAGGCCGCCGTGACGACGCGCTGCACGCCCCGAGAGCGCGCATTCAGACTGCAATCGCTCGCTCCGAGTCGGAACTGCTCTCGCGGAAGCGCAACGTGCTCCGCTGGCTTTTGGCGCTCTTTCGCCGCACCTCTCGCGCGCGCTCCGTGCTCCGTCTCTGTCGCGCTCTCTCGCAAGTTCGGGCTCACGTGCGCCCGCCGTGCGGCGGTTGGGGACGCGCGCGACTGTGCTGCCCGCTGCTGCTGTTGCAAACGCACGGCACAGTGCCGGTACGCGCGCCAGTCTGACTCATTGCCAAAGACTGCCAGTGCGAGTCGTCGTGTGGGCGCTGCTATTCGGCCGCAGCGCCGAGCGATTAGCTGCTAGCTGCCTACCTCCATTCAGCAAGACCTGCACGAGCGCACGCGGACAGACGAGCGCAGCCGAGTGCGGATCAAAACAAACCCGAGTGCGTGCCTGCTGTGGCTGCTTACGCGCGTGGTGCCTGTAGCAGTGTGCAGACGATCCGTAGCATTGGCCTGGGCGAGTTCGCTCTGCCGCTTGTCGCCGTGGCCGCTGACCGGCTCGGTATCGGCGGTCCAGTGATTCATTTCTGTTATCCGGTTGTGTTGTCCTAGTGCGGTATCTCGACCGAGCCCGCGAGCCGGACGCCGCTCTCGCGTGTCTGCTCTGCAGCTGCAGCTGAACCTCCTGTTTTCGCCAAACTGACGCCAGATAAACGAGTACGTGGAGCAGCAGCAGTGAGTAAGCAATCAGCGTGCGTACGAGCACTTTTTTCTCCAAAACTCCCCGCGCGCACGCACGAGCACGTACACATGTGTACCGCGCTCACACGCACACAAGCCGAGTTTGCAGCTCGCCTTTCATTCGCCTCTGTCCTATACGTTATTATTATATATTTGTGCCATATTTTCCTCGTTCGACACTCGGCCTCCGTTGCAACTTCACGGCTGCGTATTCCGTTGTCATCTACCCCACTGTTTTTAAGTTGTTTACGTGCCAATTATTACACACCGCCAGCCGAGCGAGCCTATCTCCTATCTACAGCTGATATTTCAGTATTGATAGTTTTTTTATTTCGCGTTTATCAACCAAACTCGAAAACACTTGAGTGCTCGCCGCTGAGGCTCTCTCTCTCTCTCTCTCTCTCTCTCTCTCTCTCTCTCTCTCGCATACTCTCTCTCTCTCTCTCTCTCGCACACTCTCTTTCTCAGGCAACGTTCGCACACGTGCTTTGCCAATTCATTGTCCTTGCCTGCAAGTTCCTACTCTCTCTCTCTCTCTCTCTCTCTCTCTCTCTCTCTCTCTCTCTCTCTCTCTCTCTCTCTCTCTCTCTCTCTCTCTCTCTCTCTCTCTCTCTCTCTCTCTCGCTGCTTCGAAATTTCAAGCACTTTCGCACGCGTGGAAAATCACGAAAATAGTAGATGCACGTTCACCAGAGTATTGCGCGGTTTCTTTTTGCTCAAGTAATCATATAAGGCGTATTGGACAATGCGCCTGATTAGAAAGAAAATGGTTTAGAAAGGCGACGTCGATGACGCGTTAACAAACGTCTTCTTTTTTCGCTGCACTCTTGTATGAACGAGTCAGAATAAAGCGCATTCGAAAGGAGAAATTTCACGCGAAAATGCCTACTCGACTAGAAGAAAAGCGTACTTAATATTTACTGTTGGCCGCTTGAGATAGCGATCGATTCTTGCCTCGTTCCATTTAAGCACATTTGAGCGTGTGTACACTGCTTTTGCGACAGTGGTGCATCTCCGACAAATTCCTACAGGATTTCGCCAGTGTCGAACTGTTGGTTCTATAGCTGCTCTTTTGAGTGCGGTTGTCGCATCATACTCGTCGTTTGGCATTCGCTCTTGCTTCTTCGGCATTGTCCGTCGTAATGCAGGTGGGCCAGCGCCAACAACAAGTTCATTCGACAAAGCATCGGCTTGTGCGGGTGTGAGGCGGGTGTGAGGCGGGTGTGCGTCAGCACCGAGGCGACTACACGCCAACGAGGAGCAGCAGCAAGTGTCGTGAAATGATCTAGAGAAAAATGTAAAAGCGAGCGCGAATATGATTCGATAAACGCAAGCGCGGCAAAGAACGTTTTGAAAATAGTAATTGGAAGCAGGCCGAGAAAAACTTTTGTGCTAGAAAGTTGTGTAGCAATCATGCGCTTGTGAGTTCGTAAGAGTAACGTTATTTACTGCACTTAATTCCGGCCAGTGGAGAAACGATAATAAGAACATTGTTCCGACTGCATCAACGCTAATCAAATGTTAGTTATTCGTTGCAGCGAATTGCGCAACGAAACGCTTTCGTGCAATTATTCAGCAGTCGTTTCTCAGCCGCCATAGTTATATTAATTTGCGTATTCGCACCTATAGCATTTCTGTTTTGACAAATGATGGGAGCGCGGACTAGCCTGACGCGGTGTGTCTTGCAGGAATCGTGGCGCAAAACGAAAGAAAACGAAAAGCGGCGGCAGTCGGCCGAGGCGACGAAACTGTCAAACAACAGAGACGGCGGCCAGCGTCGAACAAGTGAACTGGGGCAGCAGTTATGGTCGATGAGCATCGGTAAGCTGGCTCGAATGAAAAGCAAAATACAATTTTTGGCATTGCGTGTCTCGAAAAATTTCCGAGAATCACTTTCACAAAGCCGATTAACATATCCAAAAATACGAACGGCGCGCATAAATTAAGTATGTTGTTTTGAACGAAAATATCCGAGTGAGGACACGAAGGCGCGCGAGAGGCCGCTCGTATTACGTGAGATTCGGCGCGAAAGGAAAGCATAGACATGGGCTGACTTGACGCCGCTCTTGCACTTTCCCATCGAAATGGACGGCGGCAAAGAGCCTTCTCGATGTTGGCGAGCGGTCCTTGGCTTGCGCTTAAAAGCGACGCTCGCCGGCAGAAACCAAAGAACCGATTAATCGAGCGGAGGAGCCGCCAGCGTTGGCTTGCTTTTCGGCGAACAATAACAGCGGCAATAGTCGCAGCAATAAGCGAGTTCGTAGGCAGGATCAGTTTTCTCGCGGCCGGCCCCCTTCCTCTTCGCGCCTGGTCGTCTCCCTCCCCGGCCGGCGGCCCCTCCAGCGCTCGGCGCAGTTTTCTGAATTTCGTCGTCGGTCGCGTCGCGCGACTTCCGTGAGAGGCGAAAGGGCCAGCGGTCGCGGGGCGAGGCCAAGGCGAAAGCGCTGGAGCGACGAAAGGGCAGAGGCGCAGCGGGCGCAGCGGGCGCAGCGGTTGATAAGAGAGGTCAGCGAGGCAAGATAAGGCTATCGCGCGCGGAGAGGCCGGCCGCGCGTCCGCCGTCTCTCGGCAGCGCGCGGGGAGCTCGCGCCGCCGTCTGCCACCTGTCTATGCTGCGGGGACAACGATCTCTCGCACGCGCGTTACGTAGGCGCGAGCCACGCTTCGCGGCTCCCTCTCTCTCGTGGCGCGGCCGTCACTGCCCGCGGCGCCAAGCAGCCGTCGTCTGCCGCGTTCCTCGCTCACTGGCCGAGCAGCATCTTCGGGCGTCGGTGCAGGTGGACCGCGGCGCGATTGATCGCGCCGGACGACGAGCTGCCGTCCCCCCGACAGGCGCGGCCTGCGAGCGCCTCGCGCGTACTTGTTGATCGGACTGTTGGCCGTTGGCGGTGTCGAGCGCTGACCGAGTCGCCGCGTTTTCGCCGTTTTCGCCGCGAAAGCCCGCAATTCGATGGCTGCGCCTCGCTGGCCAACGATCGCTCGTGAAAACGTTGCCGCTCCACCGAACGGCCAGTACGATCGCTGCGATTCGAGTAGGTTTTGCCCTGTGTGCGACACGGCTCTGTCGCGCGGTAATTGCGGTAATTGACTCTGGATGCAGTATTGCCGCGGCGAACGATCGCAAAAAGCCACGAAACGGCTGCTCTTCTAGCGAAGACTTCGATCGATCCAAGGAGCTACAATTTCTTATTTTATGCTGCTCGCGAGCAATTGTACAAAGTGCAATTGACGATCCACGGCGCAAAAAGGAACGGAGATAAACGAGACAGGCCACGACTGTTTCTCTGGACGCGCGCTCTCGAATCGGAGTCGAGGCGGAAGGGAGAACGCCCAGGGCTGCCGTGCGAACGGCCAACTGAGTCGGCGGAAGACAGAGAAATAAAAAAGCCTGGTCGGAAATGACGCGACGCGAGAGGAGCCAGGTCCAAGAAAATCAGTGAAAAAGAGGGACGTCGACAATGGGGGCACGGCGCTCTCGTCGCCTCGGCGGTGCCGACAGTTGGACGCGCGGGCCTTGCGGGGCTGGGCCAGGCGACGACAGCGAGTTCGGCAAGCGAGCGCCGCAGCACCGGCACTCGCCCGTGCGCCTATCAATCCGAGGCGGCGATTTTTTCAATAACGTGGCAGACGGCCAGTCGGTGCAGGCGCCGCTTATACTTTCGCTGGCATGCAATTTCCATTTGTCCGTGGGCGGCCTCCGCCAGCTTGTGCCTCAGCCTCCCCTCGGCCGTACGGCAGGCGGCGGCGTTACTCTTTTTCTTTTGCTCATTCTTATACGCTTTATCGTTGAATTGCGTCTATCTGTGCAGTCGCGGCGGCGGTGGCGGCGGTGGCGGCGGTGGCGGCGGTGGCGGCGGCGGCGGCGGCGGCGCGGCGAGGCGAGGCGAAGCGATGGCGTGCTGGGGGGGAGGCGGGGTGAGCGGCGGTGGGGGCGCCCTGCCGACCACCGCCGCTATATCTATATCTGCCTCTATATCGTCGTGTATCTGTGTACAGACGTATACGCGCGCGTGTCTGTGTCGGTAGCCGTGTGCCCGCTGCGATGGGAAATACACGATTATCGTATTGATCTACGAGAGCCGTGCCGCCTTTTCTCTCTCTTTGTCCTCCTTGCGCGACTTTTTTGCTCGCTTCTTGTTCTCCTCTTTGCATGCGCGCCTCGCCCCCTCGACTAACTGCGAGCGCAGGCGCCAATCGCCAGGCTTTCGCGAAAACTCGCCTAGCGGAGCGCGGCGTCGGCAAAAAATCGGGGCGAAATCGCGCTCAGGCCATCCGGAGAAACCTGCGAGATTGTCGCCTTTTTGCGCGCCGGACGCGCTCTATTGGGCTCGCAACGCCAGCTCGCTCCGCGCGCCTATTCATTTGGTTGCGCTCTCTCTTGCCCCGCGACGCGGCCGCGTCGTTGACTCCGCCGCGCTGCGGCGAATCGCGATCGCCTATCTGGCTGCGACTGCGGCTCGGCTCATTCCAGATAGCGTGCACGACGGTGACGGCAGTGGCTGCGCAGCCGAGGCCAGCTGCCTTTCCCAGCCGGCTCGTGCTTTTTCCTTCCGAGAAGTGGCCGATAAGAAGGCGCGCAAAAACAGCAGCGACTCGGCGGCGGTGCATGCTTCCACGCACGCGGCGGCTTCCTTTCATTTTCACGGGAGCGAGCGTTCCCAACGCCACGTCGCCGGAACCGAGCGCTCGGCAGCGCGGGCCCCGGCGCGGAGGCGACATCGAGCGCGGCGCCTGAATAATGGATGGGCGGCGCGGCGATCGGCCGGCGCTCGGGCCTCCGCCGCGCCGGTCGACGAAAGATAGGGCGCGGGCGTGCGCGGCCCGCCGCGACCCGAGAACGGCGGAGCGCGCGGGAGCAATGGCAGTTCAAAGCTCCTTGCCGCGTTCTGCCGCGTTCTGCCGCGTTATGCCGCGTTCGAGCGGCGCCCCCCTCCCGCTCGCGGCCAGCTCTTCCTCTCGGCAGGACGCTACGGCACCAGCTGCGCCTGGATTGCCGCGTGCGGCGATCGCCGGCCCCGGAGAGAGCTCCGCGAGAAGCCGACGAGTGCGCCGACACCCGCCTGGAATTGGGCGCGATTCGCCGGCAGAGGCACTCGCACGTGCAGGCCCGGCCGACGCGGCTAGGCATCGATTTTGTTGCCGCTTCAGTCGTTCTCCGGCGGGCTTCGCGACGCGACTCGGCGCGCCGATATTAAATAATTTTTCCGTTGGCCGATAAGCTGCTTCGCGGATAGGCACGGAGCAAGTCGATAAACCGCTACATGCCGGAGAATGGAATGGAAATGGGAAAGGCAGTTTTTGCCTGCAGACGCGCAGACGCGCCGCGGAAAGCGAGACGCGAGGCCGGCAGCCCCGGCGGCCCCGGCAGCCCCGGCAGCTTATTAATGCGCACTTCCAATTGGAATATTCGCGGAAGAGGAGGGAAAAGGAGAGGAGGAAGCGGGAAAAAACGCCGAGTTCAGTGGCAGGTGGAGGCGTGCGCGGGCGCCTCTGTCTTGCGAGCTGCTTCTATTCCACTCGTTCGGACGCGAGGCGTTGATTCGCTCGGATCCGTGCACTGCTTGCTCGCGCTTCGCCGCCTCGGCCGCGCGTACCGCCTGCCAACACCGGCAGCAGCCTCTTTGCCGTGCCGCCGATCGCCCTGCTTTTTGCCCTTGATCTGCGCTGCGTGAGACTGCGCTGCTGGTCAGAGCCTCCTACACATCCCAGCAGCTTTAATTTATTCGATCGATTTCCTTCTTGCAGGTACTCTGATGGACTCTGCAGCCAATGAGCTTCGCCTGTCACTCGACTGCCTCCGTTGCCGATGCCAGCCTCGCTAAATTGAAGTAAGCATTCTTCGCCTGATTCTATTTTTGCCTGCAGCTTTCCGTCGATAATGCGCGCTTTTACCCTGCGAACTGAACACTGGCCGATACGCTCGTCGCAGCCGATCGGCAGACGGCCGACAAATGCAACGTCGCTCCGTCCAAATGATTTGTCTGCCGGCTTTCGGGAGCGCTCAAACTGCCTTCACCCAACGTTATCAACGTTTACGGCTCGTTTCAAATGTTCAACAGTTGCTTATTGCCCGACTTTTACCTTACTTTTCGTAGCTTACTCGACAACTCTATGTTGGTCTAAAACTTTTGTTTGGAACAGGTACAACAACTGTGACACCAACGATCATTGGCGGCTTCCGATAGATAACATTCGGTTTTTCCAATGCTTCACGGCATTTTCTTGACAATCGCAAATCTATTGATGTAAATAGCAAATATTTGAAAGTAAGCTGCAGAATTCGGTAATAAGCAATTATGCAACGTGACATTGAAATACGTAACACGTTTCAATTGATTCTGTTCCGACCATATAATTGTATAGTAGTTGCCGGCAGGCTGCCAGTTCTCTGGGCAGTCGGCAAGCTGTCGTGCTGGAAATGAGCGACTTCTGATAGTCGGCAGTCGGCCGAATCATTTTGGTAGCGCGAGCTTCGACAAACCGTATTCCGTTGACGACCTACGACAGATAGAGCGGGCCTTCCCTCGGCTGCAACTGGCATTAGCTGACCGCCTCTGGCTGAGATTTAGGTTGCCTGCTTTGATGTTGTTGCAGCATTATTAGAAGACGCATTCGCCCCGTTTTATGCTCTTAATGATTTTTTTCATTTGAGCATCCGCGCAGTTGGTAGGCCATACGCTATCGACAATCTGTCCGCGATTGTCGCGCGATTTCAGTCATAAAAACTGAAGAATCGAGGAAACGAAAAAACTATTGCGTAAACATGCAGCAAACGATAGGTGACATGGTGCTCTGCACAAACGGTCGTTCAAACATTGGATTGCCGAAGCGAAGGTTCCTGTTTTGAGAATACAATATAGGCGGTAACGTGACTACGATTGAAAACTGCCAACATTGCTGCCCTTCAATACAAAGTAAAGCTTAAAAGTGTCGAGCGTGTAGCAGCAAAATAAATGAATAACATGAGATCACACAAATAGAAATCAGAATGGAGACACAAGAGGGAGAGAAGGAGAGAATTTGATATTTGTCGGGCATGCGTTCCGCGACTTGGCCGCGCGAGGTCATAGAAAGGAAAAGCGCCACAGTGGGCTCGGACTCTTGCGACCGACAAATCGAAATGAGCATGTGAATGATTTTTGCATTTGCAGACGATCTCACACCGGCGAAGAAAGCGGCCTTTGCCGTACAAAGCTGACATTAGACCGAATCAATCTGATAAAGGCTACATCGCAAAGCCACCGTTATTGAAAAAGCAGACTTTCGGTTATTGGGGTTTTAGTTAAGTCAACAACGTACTGTAATGCCGAGCGTTTGGTACTCGTCAAGGCGCGTGAACATAGCTTGCTCAGCTATCTCATTTTATTTTATTTGCACGTCAATAGAAACGCAGCGTTTGCTTGTCGCGCATGTACGACTGAAGAGTTGCAGTAGCAGAAGGCAAAGTATAAAGCCTTCTTTTAGAAGTCCCGCAGGTCAAGGATACCTGTAACTAGGTCATACTAAAGCCCCTATCGTGTATTAAACGTTTAATTTTTTCATTTCGCTCTCTCTCTCTCCCCCTCCCTCCCTCTCCCTTATCGACATAGGCAACATACTTTTCCGTGTATCACAAGTTTTATTCGTAGCGCTCGACGTTTCAAGATGTTTGATTGGCTGCCTGGACAGTAAAGCGCAAGCTGCAAATAGCGTGATATAGAAGCAAAAATCCGAAATGGGGTCACGGTATTGACGTGTTATAAAATTAGGAATGCCCGTTTGCTCCTTTGAAACATTCACGAGCCGAGTTATTTTTCATCCTGGTTTCCGAGGCCAAAAAACAGGCTCGAAAGCCCCAAGCTTGCGCAAGCCCACCGAGGAGAGCAGCACGGCAAATGCAGTAAAAGTAAATGAATGGAATTTAGGCACCGGCAAATTCTTTCCGCTAAGAGCCAGCCAATTGTTGATTACCGTGGGGATTGCAGGTTCGTCGCAAAACTAAGCACACGAAGAGAGGCGATAGAGAGCTAAAGCGAGATGTCAAGTAGGGAAGGATGAATCAATTGGATACTTTAGAGTGTTTTTGCAAGGTGTGCGTCGTCGCGTGCAACGAGATCGAACCGAAGACCAGGCAAGATACGAATGAGGCGGACCCGCTTGCATCAAGCTGCTGGCGTGGAAGACGAGAGAGAGAGAGAGAGAGAGGGAGAGCGATGGGGCGGATGGGAGCTAGAGGAGGACGAGGGACAGACAGACAGAGAGACGGAGAGTACTTGATAATCGAAATTAATTAATTGGCAGCCGTCGCCAGCCGTTTCCTCGTCCCCCGCCTCTTGTCATCCTCAATTTTTTGCTGGCTTTCCCTCTCTTCCCCGGCAAGCTTCGACTCGGCTATTATTCCTTTTTAACAGTTTCCCCCATCGCCTTTAGCAGCTCGTAGACTGCCGTTCGGCACCCCTCCCACGCGTCACGCTCGCGAAAAATTCTGCCGCTGCCGTGCCGTTCCAGCGCCGCCACCTCGCCCATCTCGCGCTTACCGCTCTACGTCTATATCTGTACATTAATATCAAATACATACGTAGGTGCGCGTGCACGTGCGCTTAGCGGGGAGGGCTCCGCCCCGCTGCATTCGTCGGCCTCGGCGAATTTAATCACGGCAAAATTAACTGGAAAATGACAGAGACACTTGGCCTCCTCCATCTTATCAGCTTATGCACCCTTGTTTTGAGCTCGCCTTTGGCCATATTTTCGTCCTATGCCGATCGGCTTCCGGAGCCACATTGTTACTGACTCATTTCCTCAGTTCACTCGACATATGACGTTTTGCTTATTCGCTCTCCGCGGATTATTATGAGAAATAATAACCAGCGGAAATTGCCGTTAATTACTATGAAGCCCGCAGCTTGCCTTATTATGCACGCGCGCGCGCGAGAGAGAGTGAGAGAGAGAGAGAGAGAGAGAGAGAGAGAGAGAGAGCGAGAAGGGGGTTGGTGCGGGGGGCGGGGGGAGTGCGAGCGCGCGTTAGAGGCCAATATTTCACATTTATAAAATTCATTCTTCATCAAGCTTATTTAAATGTAAATGAAAAGTGCCTTTAAAAGCATTTTAAAGCATTTTAAATGCAGGACCACATTGAAAATGCTAAAAAAGCTATTCTGCATTCGAAACGGGTGCTCGAATAATGCAGCCAACGAGAAGAACGAGGCAAGGGGGTGGGTTGGAGGGACTTGCCAATGACGGTCGGATGGCACGGGCCGGGTGCTCGAGCGAGCAAGCGGCGTCGAGCGGAGCTGCAGTGGTTGCAGGCGCGCTCGATCGCGAGCAGTCGTTCCCATGGGCGCACGCCTCGTAAGAGCGCGAGATAATGCGATGCGATAGCAGAGCCAAGAGCGAGTGCAGGCGCGGCGGGAATCGCCAAGGAGTGTGGGAGTGCGATGAGATCGCAGTGTAAAAAGCGTGCCCGGAGCGCGAGCTGCAGCGGACAATTAGCGGCGCTCGGGCGGTGCGCGTTGCCTTAGAGCGCGCAGCGGAGCGCACTGGATCTGCCGGCTCGGCGTCGGCCCTCGGCACTGGCTGCTGCTTGTTCGCCCCCTTGATTTCATTGTTATTTTTCAATTTGACGTTCGGATTGCATTCGCGATGCTTCAGCGAGCAGCAAGCCCACAACAACAATTTTAAAGTCCGTTCGATTAATATGAAAATAAAAAGCGACGCGGCCGGGCGCGCTTTGAACGCTCGTTAAATTAATCGTCCTCGAATGCGCGCAATATATTTTTTGGCGCGCGCCGCACCGACAGTTGCGCATTTCAAGTGAAACGCTTTTCCGAAAAATAATTATTCGGCCGACGTGGAATGCACGTCGAGCGGTTCGTTGGCCTCCGCGCGTTTTGCGCGCGCGATTGCTTTGCACAAGCTCGGCTTCTCGCTCCGCTGTCGAAAGCGCCGCTTTTTCTTGTTCACACGCAGACGTCGCGCGGCCGGGGCGGCACAGCTCGGCACAGCTCGGCGACAAAGAAATCTCACGGAAATGAAATTTTGCTCGAGACAGACGCGCCCGCGTCGCGGCAGCATCGATCTGCCCGGCGCTTCGTTGTCTTCTTGTTGTTCCTTTTATTTTTTATGGGCTCTCGCGCTCGCTCGGGCGGGTCTGCGCGTTTTTTGCTCTGCTCCGGCTGCGGGCGCGGCGCGGCGGCGAGCTTGCGCGGAAATAAAGCAACCAACGAAAAAGCCAGGACGACTGGCGGAGGGGGCTGCTTCTGGCTGCGGCGAGCCGAAGACGGGCCGCTGGAAAACAATAAAGCTCGCTGCTCATCTTCGGGGCTGTCGTTCGGCGCGGGGCACGGGGCGAGGGGCGCGGACGGGGCGGACGGGGCGGACGGGGCGGCGGGCAGCCGGGCGACAGGCACGCCGAGGCCGAGGGAGCGCGCGAGAGAGCCTAGTCCAATCAATCATCGTGCGTTGCTCCCTTTTTTCCTCGCTCTCCTCAAAGCCGAGCCCTTGGCGCTCGCCGCGCGCTGCCTCCGGCCGTTCGCCTGCTCGGAGTCGTTGGCCTTCCGGCGCTCGCGCCTGCCTGCGCCCGTGCCGGCGGACCCCCACCAGCGGCCGCGGCTCCTTCTGTCCGCCTCCTCCCGCGGCCGATCGGCTTTTCGGCCTAGCTGGCGTGCGCGGATCGTCGCCGCCGCCGCCGCCGCCGCCGCCGCCACCGCGCTGTCCCCGAGCCGTCTGCGCCTTGCTGGCCGGGCCAGCCGCCAGCCGCCAGCCGCCAGCCGCCCACCGCCCGCCGCCCGCCGCCCGCCTTCCTCCGCCGCGCGCTCCTGCCCGCGCATTTTTCCTTTCAGCGGCTCGGCTC